AATAAGACATCCTGAGCCCACAAATACACAAAACAGTGCTGCAAACAATATTTGTTGTACATGCTTAACAGAAATATCAATTTTCATTTAACTGATGGTGGTTGATGTGGTCTTTGGCCTCTGTCTCAGTGTTGTAAGCTCCAGTGTTATTAAAAGAAGAACTACATTTCCCATAATCGCTAAAGTTCTGTGTGTATTTCCCTACTCACTGTAGTGTGTACAATGTATGTTACAAATGTATTTTTTTATCTAAATAAGGATTCAATGTTGCCTCCCTGGTGATGTTTTGTTTGTTATTTTCCATCAGTCTTATACTTCTTCAAATATCTGCCATCCCAAAGCTGAAATATTTAGCTCCACATTTCCATGAAAAGAATATTTTCCCCCAATTTTTTCATTAATGCAATCTGCTGCTGTGCCTTATGTACGTACAATCTAGCAGATTTCACACAAAAATTACCCTGGTGATGAACCTTTAAAAGCTGCATTTCTTTTACTCATCTGTATCAAAACTGATGTGGCAATGGTTAATCAGTTTATCAGCTCCACAAACCACCTTTAACTGACATGATAGACTGACAGAAAATACAGCTAAATAACAGATAAATATACATAAGCTTAATCGTATCTAATCTTTCTTAAATTAAGCAGTGTCTATGACAAAATATTCAACCAAGTCAAATGAAACGACATACCTGGCACATATGCCAAACACACATTCACACACACAAAGGGCTCCTTATTTGTATCTTCCTCAAATAAATATGTTTATAAAGCTCAGGAATGTGAGGAATCTCTGAGGGAGGGTTTCAAATGAACAGGTGACCGTCTGAGCATACCTTTGTAGGACTGTGTGACTTAATCAGTCTTCCTATCACCTTATTTCCATTTCACCAAACCAACGGGGTTCTTCTTACAACCCATTATGAAGCTATCAGAGGCCTTTTGTTTAGTTTTACACAGGATCAAAGAAACTGACAGCACGGCAGACACATAAATCACTGTCAGACAGGTACGCAAAGACGTTAATAGTGAGAGGAATTAGACAAATGGAAGGATGAAACATTGTCACGGTACTCAGAGAACACAATGCAGGTTAAATGAGTTCACCACACTGAAAGGTCCAGTAGGCCAGAGTTTATCACTCCAAAAGCTGCTACTGTGCAGTTCCCTCTTTGGTCAAACTTCACAGGCCTTGTTTACAAAAATGCATTCCTGCAAAAGCAAAGGTTAAAGTAACCCTATACAGGGTTTGGATGTTTATCCTAACAGGGACTCTAAGTCAACCTGCATTGTCATCCTCAAATAAAACTGAAAAGCAAACACGATAATATATAATTGGCTGATAATAGCAGGTTACTTGGTTAGGGACCAATCACGTGAATACCAGCACATACCAGTAGGGCTGCTTTCAGTACTAGTGGCAATATAATACCTGAGTTTTACCAAAACTATACTTTCTTCGTGGTGTACTTTGACAAATATAAACAAATGTCAAATGTTCTTAACCTAACTTGACTAACATAACTAAATAAAATTCTGTCTAAAACCAGAAAATTTCCGATCAAAGAATAAGTCTATGAGACTACGAATCTGACTGGACATTAAAAGGGAGTTTTCTGTACATGACAGTTTTCACATTTACTCAGACACATTTAAGGTGGTCAGTTTTTCCCCAAAAACATATTCTCAAAAAATTCACATTTTGATCCAGTGCATATGCCTTTTTAGATTAAACTACTGCTCTAAAAGTAAGGATTTCTTGAAAAAAATATGAATGTAGTAAAGGAGGGATGTGTTACGGTCAACTGTAGACTAACTTGGAAATGGGTTACTGTAAGGTTATCCATAAAAGATGTAAAAGATTTGATTACACTGTGTCTTGAAAGAATACAGAATAAGCTTCTTTGTACTGATGTGTCAAATAAAACATTTTATTTCGTAAAAACAAAGAATTTTACAAAGGTTGGTTGAATTTTGAGTAGGGCTGGAACTGACAATTATTTTCAGCATCAATTCAGCTGGTGATATTTTCTCAGTTCTGTTTTGTTTAAGATATTCTGTTTTTTGTTTTTTTTATCTCATTTGAAAATGAAAAGCAGACAATCCTCACAATTTAGAAGCTAGAACTAGCAACGGTTTAGCTTTTTTGTTTGAAAAATGATTTTAACAATTAATCGATTATCATAACAGTTGCAGATTATTTTTCTGTTGAAAAACTTATCAATTAATGAACTAATTGTTTCCCCTCTAATACTGTCTACTTTGTTTTATGATGATTTATACTTCTCTTGTAAATTTCAGTATCCACTAAGAGTAAATATGGTATGTAGCAAAAAACTATTTTTTAAAAGATGTTACCGTTGTTGTGTCTACATCGTATCTATGGTGATAGAAACATTTGGTGAATCCAGCATGGTGAACTGGAGAAGTCGCATACGTACACACACTCCATGTGATCCTCTATGGGTACCAGTGTCTCAGCACAATGAGGAACAGTGTGAGTGGAGGGGTCAGGAAAAACAGAACCTCTTGCTCCTCCCTCACTGTAATGGCCTTGGCATGGCTTTTAATGAACTGGCACTGGGCCTGCAATACCAGACATTTAGTGGGCAGGAGGCCCCTCTGGCATCAATACAGATAATCATCAGGGGCTCAGCTGGTGGTATTCAATTTTCTGGGCAAGTGTGTGTTACACTGCACCATGTCCTGCTCCTGCAATAAACTTAAAACAAAAAACAATTGCTGAGCTCCTTCTCTAATCAGAGGAAGCGTCTGGTGGTTTGCTGTGGTTGTTGCCAGCACCAGCAATCTGATATATTTCTGTAACTTTAAGGCAACAGGTACACAATTTAAAATAATATATGTTGTGGCTACAATCATTAAAGTTTGGTTCCAACTTTCAAACTCCAGAAATTGGCTCTTTTCAGAAATTCTTCTTGAGTGCATGAGTGGAAAAGTAAAGGAGAAGATTTCACAGCCTCTGCCCGATGTGGGAAGTAGCTACTAAGGTGACCTTGGCAGAGGAGAAATACCTTAACTGTCCTCACAGTTTACTTTCACTTACAAAACTCCTAGCTTCACAATGCTGCTGTAACTATGTAGCACAATGCAGTGCAAAGATTATGTAATGCAGTCTACATATGCATGCTCCAGTCAATGCTGACGTACTCTGTGTCTATGCATTCATCATCTACAGATGTGACTGAAAACGTGTTTATCCTTATTCATCTTCTGTTGTGGGTATAGTTTGACATTGTAAGACTGAATGAGTTTTAATCCTGTGGAAATCCCCCATCACTGTTCCAGCTGCGCTACAAGATCTGGGCTTCCACTTGGAGAGGATGCAGCAAGAGAAACAGGAGCCCCCCACCCCCTCTGTCTGTAAAGCAATTAGCCAAGACTGCAGAAGCACAGGCCGTTACACATAAAACAGCCTTTTGTGTTTTTGCATAAGCCAAACAAGGTTTAGCTAGTTGGTGTGATGTTTCTGTGTTTCAGGTCTGACTGCATCGTGGTGTGATTAACGAAAGTATAAAAGTAAAGTGAGCGCTTACAGTTCACACTACACTAAACTGAAAGAAACAAAAAAACTGTGTCCACAAAACAGGCCTGGTAGAGTACAGCAAGCTGACATACGAGTGCACACGTGCAAGCTCCAACAAGACCCTGCAGCTCTGGGAAAAGTGTTGCTGCAATTTTCTTGGGAGTGTGTGAATAATAGGTTTGTGTGAGTTGGGTTTTCACTGGTGTTGTTGAGTGTGTGTGTGTGTACGTGTAGGTGTCTCATAGACTGTGTGTCTGCACAGTCTATGAGACATGGTTCCAAACGGTTAACATAAAATACACCATCCGCTTCATGCATGTCCTGTGTGGCTGGCAGCCCCAGTGTAGCACTTCACCCTTCATGTAACCTGAAGACCGTGTTAAGTTAAGTGATGGTGTCACCAAACAGGACAGACAGATTTTTTTTCACAGCACACAAAGCGAGCGGGAGGTCAGAAGGCGGGTAGGAAGTCAGTCTGTTCAAACATCCCTCCACTGAACAAACACGCATGCCTGGGAGCCAAGGAGCAGCATATTCAACTGGTTCACAGGAACTTATTCAGCCTACTAAGATGTCATGTTACTAAACTAAACGGCTCTCTATAGAAATGTCTTAACATTTGAGGAACTGCACTGCTAGGTTTTAGTCCATTAGTAAATTTGCTTAATCAACTGGCATGACCTTGACTGAGGTAGGGAATTCATCACAATTTAATCATTTGTTGACTATATGTTTTGTTTTTGTGTGTGTGTCAAAGGAACTGTATGGATGGATTGGCAGCTGCTAAAATTTTTGTCAGGCTGCAACTGATGATTATTTCTGATAAATCTGTAGATTATTTATTTGATTTATTGAGATTAAGACTACAATAAAGTCTGAAAATAGAGGATATAATAGCTCATTGCAAGTTCCAGAGCCTAAGGTGACGTCTTCAATTTGACAATCTGAAGCTGATTCTCCATGCTTTTCATGGTGAAATGAAACCAATGGCCTTCGTGAGGGTTGGAAATAAATCTCAGGCTTTTCCCCAGACTGTTTAGCTGAGGTGGTTTGCCAGCCAGGTGTTCACACATATCATCTTAGTGATCGATAAAATTATTAGAGAACATCCTAAGTAATGTTTAATGTGGGAGTGGTCTCTGTTTCTGGTGAGGTGGCCCACCTAAATTCTCCGTGGTGCGCTAAAGGAAATGTTTTGTTTTGGGGGTTTTAAATAATAAATAAATTAAAAAATTAAATAAATTAAAAATACATGCAAAACTGATACGCTCCTTTGACTTGGAAATTCATTTACATCAACTTTTTGGAAATGTTCAGTCTAATTCCCAGGTCAGTCTTTTCCACTGGATATTAAACAACATGATGTGAACTGTCAACTACACCACAGACAACAACACCCTCACAAAATACTAAAGGGGATGATATGGCCATTGAGCATCCTGTAGGCTCTTACCATGAACGTTACCATGTGGATGAGCCTGCTTTCCTGACTTCTGTCCGCTCTTGTGTCCTCCCTTGTGTCCACCCTGATTCCCAGCAGGGTGCCCATCCAAGGCCAAGTCAAGTGCAGGGCCTAGACCCAGCTGCCCCTTATTGGCGAGATCCTTCCTCTTCTTGCCCTTCAGCCAGCCCAAAGCCCGCCCCAGGGAGTTCCTGCGCTTCTTCCGGCCCCTTTTGCTGTGCTTCTCCTGGGCAAAAATTTCAACCACATCTTGGGGGAGTAGGTCCCCAAACCCCAGCGAGTCACGGTTTGACATACCACCTCACACCGGAGCTACGCCCTGAAAAATGAAAAAGAAGAGAGGGAAGACAGAAGTTAACTTTTAATAATCATCGTCAAGGCTCTACTTGTACTGGCACTCAAGGAGAGGTAATAATCAAAGAACCACCAGAAGTCTAGATTGATTCCTAACCTTCCTGGTTTGAATTAATGCCAGTATTGTGTTAATATTTTCTTATGGAAACTGAGCATGTATAAATATGAAACTTACTTTACAGTGAATGAACGTTATCTGACTGTATTTCTTACACAACATCTGATATTTGAGAGTTGGCTGCTGCAAAGGAATCTCTTTAACTCAAGAAGCTGCCAAATTCAGTGTTCTTAGAAACAATTACCAAAACAGTAATGAGATATGGCATTACTGTCTGCCTTCCAGCTTTGATTTCCCATCAACATAGCTCCTCTTTTCACTCTTTTCCATAGCTAATGTAGTGGACGTTGGTGCTTCCTTGAATGCACCACAAAAGCACCATGGTTCACGATGATGGATTACCCATTCCAAATGATTTCCATCTTTTTAAATCAAGTTAAAACTTTAAGAACGCTTAGGAAAGTGTACAAAACCAGCAGTCTGATGAATCCAAATATATACAGCATCAGACAGTGTCCATATTTGCAAAGTCCACCCCAATTGGTGTGTGTGTGTGTGTGTGTTTGTGTTTGTACGTCTCTGTGGGCACTGCTCACTCAGCCCATCCGCACAGCCTACACAGACCCCCCTCCTGCCACTAAACCAGACTTCACAGTTCTGCAAAGAAAGACCTGGCACCGCTCCCTTCATTCCATAACATGGAGTCATAACTCACAAAACCGCACCCGTAGCCTCATGCACTTTTACACACAGGCACAACAGCACACTAGGAAGAGTTGGAGAACAGACAAATAAACAGACACCAAGTTTCGATTCATATTTTAATGTAGTTTCTTTTTTGTGTTCCTTGTTATGTTTTATTGTGTTACTTCATCTTATATTCTTTTTTCATTCTCAGATGAATGAGCGCAGTGCTTCCTTCACCTTGCTGCTCTACTTTGAGACAGGTTTCCCAGCCGTGCTCCTTTGGACCTGTAGCTTACACCAAGCCTCTTCCAGCTGTGTACTTTATTAGATACTTACCTGCTAAAAGTAAGATCAGGCTCTTAAGATGATAAGAGTCAGAGCTTTTGAATAAGCACACAAAGTGCAGAAAGAAGGTGGGTGTAGAGTGGAGTCAGACAGAGAGAATTGTGAATCCCCGGGTGATTTGTTGTAGAGAAAGTTCATGAAAAGTTTTTGGCTGCTATGTTGCTTCACGGTCATGCATGAAAAACAATGCAGACAGATTTTAAGGCAAGCAATGTGTGAGCAATACAACCAAACATCTTTCAGTAACATAGCCTCTAGGAATACTTTCCTGCCCCAGACAAGACATGAAACTAAACCACAGAAACCTATGTCATGTTCTCTGAGGATTACACATTTTTCCAAATGGCTCCTTTTCATCACAGCTCTGTGCAATGCAGAGGGGGCGGTTGTGATGAGATGTTAGAGGACTCTGGTTTGGATATATCGTATAGAAGATTTTAGAGCAGATGTGCACTTTTTAAAGCCAGATACCACTGGTCATAAATAAACCTTTTATCAGTCAAATCTTGACAATGTCAGAATCTCACACCTGGAGTTTAGAAGACATGGGAAATATACACAATATCAGTCAGTGTATCCTAACTAACACTAATGCAATAAATCCGACGTTTATGGAGGCTATAATGTCCAATTTTGCTCAAACTGTTTTAGGGCTGTGGATTCAAGTTTATGGTCATTGGAGGCTGCAGTTTGTAGTGCTGTTAAACTGTGTTGTGTTATAGCCTAATGATCTACATTTAATAGAGATTATAGATAATATGGATTAGATCTATCTAATAATCTATTATTTTGTCCACTCAATTTATATCAATGAGGGTAAATAACAGAAACACCTCCTTGTATAATACACTGCAGTCCACCACCACAAACTACATCCTCCAAAATTATACTAAAGTAAAAAAATTAAACGGTTTAAACAAGAACTGAACGTTGTAACTCTCATGAAGAGATGATCTATTGAAGGACTGTTGTGTTAGACCGCATTATTTTTAAGTAGGTGCACCTATAAAACTGGCATGTGAGCGTAGGGAGGCCATGGTCTTCACTCTATTCTTAAAGTAGAAACAAGTCTACAGCATAGACTGGTCTACAGCCATGCTTGGGGCTTTGCAAGGCTGTACTTAGGCACAGCTATGCTAAATGCTAACGTCAGCATGCTAACATGATCACAGTAACAATACTAACATGCTGATGTTTAGCAGGTGTAGGTACCAAATCCGTGCTGCCTGCCAGATCCCTATCTGCACATGCGCAAAAGCGGTCCTGTCTGTCAAAGAAGGTTACCACAAATGTGCCTGTTCATAATTATGTGTGTAACATTATTTGATGCAAAAGGTAACCTTCAGTGTCCGTATAAGACGCCTCCGGGTGCGTCTGCCCTGTCTCGATCAGAAGCACTAGTAGCTAGCTAGGTATGTTAGTAAAAGGCGTTGACAGCTTCCCAAACCCCCTTACCCTTACCATAACAGGGGTGTGTGCCTAAACCTAAGTCAGCGATTGTATTTATATCGACCGGCTAAACCTACAGCTGTGCTTAGCAGCTTAGCCTCCTTTGTGTTGCTGTCATTATTAGAAATTAAAAATGTACTGTTAAATAAGGTTTTTCATATCTAAAGTATATTCCTATTACATCATAGTGAATAGTTTCATCTCCAGTGAATAAAAAAAGCATTTTGTTATCTTCTTTTGAAAGATTTAGTTGGATCACTTTGAATAGGCAGATTTGAGGTAACCTTCTTTGACACACAGAATAGGGTGACCAGATGTACCCCCCGTCCCCAGAAATGTTCCTGTTTTTAACTTTGTGTTAATCATAGACTGTATAAGGTGTTAACAGACCTGTAATAAGATTTTATGTGCCCAGAAAGACGGGACAGCAGAGCGTACAGGTGTTGTGCTGAAAAGTGATTGCCATCCGCGGGAGTGCGCAGCATGTTAAAGCTGTATCGCCCAGTCTCTTTATGTCTACAGCTGCTTTTATCTGGATCAAACAGACATAACGTGCAAATAAACATCACTTTATGTCAGTGGTATAGCAAAGGTATGTCTTCGTGATACTTACACGTACCTGTACGTGTACCTGAGTATTGGTAAAACCACAATAAACCTAAACTGAACGTTACGAAGCAAACAGCGGCAGGTCTGAGCTACTGTAGCGTTAGCTGCCTGCTCCTGGCTGCATCACTATGCTAACGTTGGGTCGCGTTAGTTGGTGAAGTAATGTGGAAAACGATATAACTTTGCACCGGATATTATTAGCAACTGCTCGGCGTTAGCTGGCGGGCTAACGTGACTTTCTCTGTGCTTCTCCAGCTTTACTAATGCTCACTTTGTTTTTACTTGACATCATCTGAACCTGTTTGGTCTGATGGGCTTCAGCACATAAACATTTATTGTTGTTTTGTATCCTTACGTGGAGCCTGTGTTTTGCTGTGAGCCTGTTGTTTTATGGTGTTAGTGGACTGCATGTCGTTAGCTGCCGTGTTGTCGCTATAGTCAGAGAGAGGCTCGGGAGTGCGCACAGGGCTGAATCTGACCCGGAGTCCTCACATTAAAAGCAGAATAGTGGCTGATGCGAGCAACGGAGAAAACAGGCGTGTGCTTCATTTCTAAGTGAGTTTTGAGCCCACTGACAATAAGGCAATGAAAATTTGATTCATTTCATTGAAAAAAACTTACATATAGTCCCTTTAACAGAATAATCCCAGTTGTGGTCAAATAAGTGTTTGTAGTGTAACCAGGCATGACATTTAGCCTACGTGATCATAGGCAATAATAGAAGCTTGTTGTTACCAATGGAATATGTGTTTGGTAGGCCTATGTCTAATGTCCTTGTTTATAGGCTATTTGGAAAACAAAATGAAGCCAATAATCAACATGACTTACTGCTTAGTTATATATAAAATAAAGACAAGATCTCTTTTGCAATTATCCTTATGACTCTACATAATTTAACTTGCTGTGTACCAACCAATCCAGTCCTTTTTACTTGTTGAAATACCTTTCAATGGCCAGTACAACTCATGTAATGCAGTATTCCACTTGCCAGAAAGTGACTCATTGATTGAAATGACTTGACCTCAGAATGACTTGATTTCATTCAGAAGAGTTATATTTGACATATTATAAAACCGAAATTGTCCCCCTTTTTTATTTAATATATAATAACATTATATTTTTTAATGACATACCAAACCAAAAATGCCCCCGTCCCCGTGGTCACGTTATGACAGAAGCACTTTTGCGCATGTGCAGAACGGATCTTGCTGGCGATATGCATTTGGCACTGACAGCAGGTATAATGTTTACCCTGTTCACTGTTTTAAGTTAACACGTTAGCATGCTAACATTTGCTTATTAGCACTTCATATAAAACTTCAATAGTTTGGCAGGTATTTGGTCTTAAACCAAAGTATTGGATGTGATAATGGCGATAGAGGAAAAGTCACCAAAGAGATTAGGGTTTATCCTCTGGAACCATGAATGTATGTACCAAATTGCATGCTGGTTGTTGAAATATTAGTCTCAACAATGCCGGTGGTGTGAGTGTGAGTTAAATCTGGTTTGAGAGGTTGAACACTCCACACTCATGACAGGAGTATGTCGCATATGAGAGGCTTAAGATGAGTAGTCCTACTTGAAGTACTTGAATGCTTTTCTAAACTTTATACATATGTGGGCGTTTTTGACGCAATCTGTTATCTTAATGTAGCCAAGGTGAACTTGTTATTCAGTGCAGCACATTTGAAGTGGAACAGTGTGTATGGAGTGGACATAAGGAGTGAGTTGTAGTGAAAGGCCAATAACAAGAAAGAGCATCCATCTTCTCTGGAGAAAAGTACTGGGCCTCTCCCTGCACTAAGCCCTGTGTTTCT